CTGGGAGTAGACCAGCCAAAGCCAGAATTGCCCCAAGGTTTAATTTAGCCCATAATAACTGAAAAAGTTCTGTTTTGGATCAAAGCAGTTTCTAATTCCCAGGGTCTGCCTGGAATGAGACCCTCTAGGTACAGCACATTCAAGAGAAAGCTATGCTAACACACTCTTTGCCAAAGGCTGCTAGATCTGCCTGCTGACCCTCATGCACAGACACACATGCCTCCTGCCCTCCCACGTGCTAATAGGAACATCAGCAAGAACTGACCTTTTTTCTGTTTTGTTTGTTTGGTTGGGTTTTTTTGCACCCAACCTTGTTGCCGATCTGTAAGGTAGTAGCCAGTTTGATTACATGGCATTTACTGGTTAAGTTTTGAAGCCCATCCCTGCCATAGATTATGAGGGGAGGACTTTCCACATAAGCCTTTCACTTGGGGCAGATGGAGGCGTGAAAAGCAGCCACTTTTGCATCCACTGGCAGCTGTGGGTAGACAACCAACATTCTGGACCTCAGCAGAATTCTGGACAACCAACAGCTGGCCTCCAGGGTGCCTCCAGGGCACTGTTGCTCCCTCAGAAGGAAATACCTCAGCAAAGACAGCTTGTGGAGAAGACAGACATGTCTTGAGGGCCCAGCTCTAGGAGGTGATAAACACCCTCAACTTCTCCGGACATAAAGGCAGTTATGAACATGCCTGGTTTTCCTCCGGTCTCAAGTGTTTAGGTCAGAGATACGGGCTTGATCCACCCACTCCCCATTCATCCAGAACACTGTTCTCCTGGCTGGATGCTCAGCACCACTGAGCAGGGAATGAGGAAAGGGCGGCCCAAATCCCCTGGCCAGGAGCCGAGATGGCCTTCTACAATTTCAAACAACCCTGGGCTTTTGAGCATGTCACAGACAAGCCAGGAGGCTGGCTGCTGGACATCCCTTACCCAGCATTGCTCTGACACAGAGAAACACAGGGAATCTGGTGCTGATATGGAGCAAGTCTGGATTTTTCTGGGACCTCTTGGCTGAGTGTGGGGGAGCAAAGCCAGGAGCTGGGGACAGAGTGTAGGCAAACGTGGTCTGGACAAAGAAAGGCTGGCAGACTGGGAGCTCACTGCCAGCTCTGGCATGAGTTGCTGGGGCTGGGAAAGCCAGCCCACTTGTGCAGTACCTGCGCGACACAAGACCTTGTCCCTCTCCACCTGCAAAGGATGGGTATCTTTCAGACAGCAAAAGCTGCAGCGCTCCCCTGCCTTTGCCTCTCAAAAATTCAGCTGAGAGTACCTTTAGACAGGCACAAGCTCTCAGCCTCCACGGTGAGCATATGCACCTACTTAGCACCATCAGCAGGGAGCACAGCTGAGATTAAACTCTCTGCCCCTTCCATTGATTTCAGGAGTCTTCAGATGGCCTCACAGTTCAGTGGCTTTGCATTCAAAGGAGCAAGAGATCTGCGCACCCCACTTGCACAGGAGCAGTTTGCAAAGCTGGCTCCAGATGGTAGCCATTAGCTGACACCACTAAAGTTGGCAAGAGTCAAATTGGCAACCAGAGCTACAATCCTCGGCGTTACCTACATGACTTAGTCCCCAGTAACTCTGCCTGCTCCTTAATGTAACCTTGGAGAGAAACACACTTGCGTAACCTGGAGAATTGCTAGCACAGAGCCATCCTTTCTAATCTGAAGAACCCACACCAGAAAGCAGAGGGCACCCAGCAAACTCTTTGAAATAAAATTATTATTATATATTGTTGCATGCAAGAAACTGTTCCACCCTGCAACACCCTCCCTCCCCCCCAAAAAATCACTTTCATAGTGTTGATTGACTCTGATTATATCTCCCCTGAGCATCAGCAGCTCTCAGCATAGCAACGAATAAATGATTCGGCATGTGAAAGCTGGATATTTCCAAGTCTGAAGTACCCAGGATAAAATAAAAACATTTCTGCCAGAACGTCTGACTCTCCCAGGTTTAGATTTCCAAAGTTGTGTCCTCAGGTTTTTTTGCTCCCTTTCTGAAGTGAAGGGGAAATATTTGTATACACTAAAATCACTGCCTGTGGACCAGTCTGGGCTGAAGACCAACTACAATAAATGGTTACAGGGGAAAGAAAGTCTTAAATCATGACCCAGATTTATGACAATGACTGAGAGCCTTTTTGCGGGGAGAAGCAATTTCTAAGCAGAGAACGTCAGAGTCTCGGAAACATCTGATGGATGTGACACTCCATGAAGCGACACTAGCATCCTACTCGTGACTTAGGCTATCAACCCTTGAAAAGCACACACCAATCTGGCTCGTTTGTACACCTCTGACAAGAACTAAATGTCTTCTCAATCATTCGGAGGGGGGGGATGAAATCTGACTGTAGTAAGATTTTTAAACAAAAATCTCACAGCAACATTCCCAACTCGAAGCCGCTCCAATGATTAACAGATCTTATCATGTTTTATCATCCTGCAAGACAACACAAGTTATTTCTCCAATGCAATGGTAGATTTCACAGAATCCCTACTAACCAATCTGAGTCACCGGAGGAGTAGCATGGACCTGACTCCATCTCATGACCTTCACCACTCAAGCTCATACAATAGGAGTACAAATAATTTGGATCAAAAGGCATCCAGGCACCAGAGCTTCATATATTTCACAGGTCAAACAGCTACAAAGCAGACTGCACGCTTTGTAACATTCTAGATTTAATTAATAATTCCAGTTTAGCATGGACACCCAGGCCACTGTGACACTACCGCTGTAGTTAAGTACTGATGATGTAAAAAGCACCCTTCTCATCCCACATATCTTTGCTCCTTTCAATAGATTTTTAAAACAAAGTGTCCACAGGTTCCTCTTGACAACAAAAGAAGAATTCTGTCCAACACACTCACCCTGTCGTATCCAGGAGACAAAGGGGGTGGGATCGGCGGATGCCATGCACTCCATCACCGCACTTTCCCCCGCCACCACCGTTGTGTTCTCCGGAGCAGCCACGATGGTGACATCTCCTGTTGCTGGCTGAGAACCTAACACCAGAAATAAAAAGGAAAATTTGTTCTTTCAAAATAGGAAGTCCCTAGAAAAGCACTGTTTGGGACACCTTTAATGGAAAAGGAAAATACCCTTACCACCAAAAAAGAGCAAGTCACCTCAGAACACAGGCATATAGATATTTCTGTGTCCTTTTTGCATTTCATTCAATTGGTGAGGTCAGTGTCACCTTTGATTGTGGCTGTTTTCACCATCAGACTACAGCATGCAGCAGGGTTTGCTGTGGAAACTCTATAAGGAGGGAGCAACTCACCAGCTCTACCAGAGCCAAGGCTGGGACTCTAGAGCCCACGGCCAGCTACTGCGCCTGCTCAGGACCTGGTCTAGCCGTCTCAGTTCTGCTATCACGTCTGTGACGGCCACTGTGATACCTCCAGAGGAGCATCTGGAGCTCGGCTGTACGTGACAGTGCTCTGCACCTTTTCTAAAGCTTAAGTGTCCTGATGAAGAGCAGTGGGGCCTTTCTTTACTACAGGCCAAGCTGCTGGAGCTGAGCACACCCACATCTGCAGGAATCCCACAGCAGATTCCAGTCTAACTTGAGCAAACTTAGGCAAACTTTGTCTCAAAGGTTCTCCTAATTAACAAACTAGAAAGTATTCCCTTAACTAGCAAAAGACCAGATTTTCTAGACGCTCTTGGCTTAGCAAAGAAAGTCTGAGATTAGAACGGAGCCAGAAGAGGATTTTCCAAGATCCCTGTAAGGATGCAGAACACAAAACCCAGACATTGTGTCTGTGCTTCCCCAGGTATTCCCAAATGCGTTCTCACTCCTAGTTGGAGGAGAAAAGCAGGTCTTGTTTTCACATGACTAAAATATTTTTGCTAAACCAATAAATAAAAGGGTGCCTGAAAGATTTGTTCAAATCCCACCAGTGCTAACAGAAATTAGTATCAAGAGTTTCACATGAAATAGAAGTAGGGCTTCAACCCAGAGCCTTCCATGACTATTGCAAAATAGATGCTTGTCAATTAGATGAAAAAAAAGACATCACTGTTCTCCAACAGAGCAACTACTCTGCACACAACACATACTCTGCCAAGGCATAGTAAGTTATAGAAAGAATCTGGTCATTTGGTTAAAGACGTTCAGATACCCAGACACTATATTGTAAACTGCAACACAGAGAGGTCAATCCTCTGTGTCCAGGCCGTCACCTTATGGCAAAAAGACTACATCAGTCACAAAGTATCTGGAGGAGAGAGCGCTCTTTAGCGTATACGTGCACAGATGAACAGCCAACAAGTAAATGAAGCAACATTTACAGGAAGAGCTATAGGCTGCATTCACGTCGTCTTGCTCCTTGAGAATGGGATGGGGACGTTTTGCTCAAAATGAACCTTCTGTCTGTCTCTGCCCCACTACTGAGTGGAGGTTAAGGGAAGGCTAAGGAAATGCCTTTGCTGTGGTCAGATTTCTCTTGTCCGATGAAAACAACTGGAGCACTCTTGAGAAGATCAGACGGTTCACGACCCTCAACGGTAGCAACACTATTCTCCCAGCTCTCCCAGAAATATTTTACTTTGAGGGACACTCTTGTTATTGTCCTCGCGGAGAAAAACTACAGAGGAGTCATGTAGTGTAAGTAATTCTTAAGCCTGCTCCAGGTGCTCCCATGATACAGCAGAGAAAGTTCTTGGCAGCAGGTCTAAAATAAATGAAAAGCAGGAGCTTTTTTTACAGCGCACAAACTCGCTGTCTCAGGATGCTGCAGAGTTCAAAACAAGTAAGTTCTGACTGCAGTCCCCAGCCTAGGATGTGCCCACATCCCTGACCTGCAGCTGCTGAGGGAGATACCCAAGGAAACTATCACGTTCTCCTTGCCCAGTTTCTTATGCTCTTTCCTCTAGCCATTCTCGTGGCATGCAGGCAACATTACTCATACAGATTTTACTTGTGAAAACGAATAAGAAATGCCTTGGCCTCAGCATACACATCTGTCTGCATGGCAGGAGGTTACACACTGTTACACTGAATGCGCTGCGCTCAGCCCACCTCCAGGCTCATTGCCGTTCACACTAGCACAGTCTTGCCACAGAGAGTTGGATCTGCACTGACATTTTCTTGCGGTCCACACGTATGTAAGGGTTCTCCATCCAAGGGATTACACGAACACATTTGAAAAGGAGCTAGTAAGATCCCTGAGTCACCAAGGGAAAACAGGAGAGAGCAGGAGCCTGTGCTTGTCCAGCAGATGGAAGCAGAGACCGAGGAGCACCACGGTCCTCCTACCCAGGGCAACGGCTGGACAGCACATTAAACTATGAGCCCAGCCCTGCATGCCAGGGAGCACGAAGAAAGAGAAGAGCCACTTCAGCCAAGCTAAGCATCCTCTTTCCCGGTGAATAACTACATTACAAGCAGAGCCTAGTGGGAACAGCCACATGACAATCTCTTCTCACGGCTGCAGTCTGCCACAGTCAGGACTCGGCTACAATCAATTATGTTAGCTCTTCGCGTAATTCAAGCCTACAGTACGGAAGCCAGCAGGTGCCTAACAGCCCAGCAGTGCAATTACCCTGCAGCGAAGCACAAGGGAACCAGAACAGCCCCTGCCAAAGCACTTCGGAGGGCAGCGTTCAGTCCCTCTCCTGTGCCTGATGCTGATTTCAGTTGGTTTAGGCTAGGTCCAAATCTGGCTCACCGTTTTCCAGTGATGGTGGTGTTACTCAGCACAAAAGCAGCCCAGGAGGAGGAGCATCAGAGCCCAGGGCTACAAGGGACTGATGGAAAGGGACGCTCCCTGTTACTGGGACACACTGGGGAAAGCAGAGGTGAGTGATCAGAAGCAAGTGCTTTTTTTCGGCTTTAGCAATCCCTGCCTTCTGCTGCTTAGTCCCACATCTGCACAACTGCTTCTAGTTGTAGCGGGACAACTGAGGGGGCAAAACAGCAACAAGAAGAAACAGCATCAAATTATGGATTCAGGCACCACCACTGAGCAGATCAAAGTCCTAGCTGCTCTTAACTGTGGCATGGAGGCTGGGAACTCCTGAGAACTCCTGTGACAGAAAATGAGCTTAAATGTAAAAACAGGCATGAGACCTTCCAGAACAGGCATATAAGCTGAAGGATCAGAGAAGCACAAGGCTCTTTTGAACAGCAGCTTTCATCTAACTCCAACTCCAGTTCAACAAAGCACTAAAATCCACAAGTAATCATTAGTCCCGCAAAACAACCGAGCACAGGGACTCCAGTGAGACATGGCTAGATAGGCGAGACTGCTCCGTGCCTCACTAATTTGAGGCCTTGACCCTTTCTCTGCCCCATAGAGTAGAGAGGGTTGAGGTAACATTGGAGAAAGAAAAAGGAGAAGTAACTTTCTAGCCAAAAGTCGGAAAAAAACACATGAGAAAGCACCAGAAGCAAAGGAAACGGCTTCTGCAAAAGCCATTACACAAAAGGCAAGACAGCTCATGCTAACAGGCTGCCGGGCTGGGAAAACACCAGACAACCCAGTAAGTCCCCAGTAAGTCCCCATGAGATCAGCTGTGAGAAGCAGCCTGAGACAGAGGTGCAAAGGAGCCAGGTGAGGAATTGCTACTCCTTAAAAATGCAAATACAGCTCTGAAATCCTGCTGTCTTGCAGATGAACACACACTCCCCGCCCTGTGTCCTGCCACGGGGCATCAGGTGCGGACTGGAGAGCAGGCTCTTGCTGGAGACCCAGGCCCATGTTCTTCTCCAACCCAAGGCCTCTCTCGAGGCACCCCCCAGCCTTTTCGCTGATCCTGGGAGCAGGAATTAACTGGGACATCACACAGATTTCCAACCTACCACCGGAGCGAGCTTCCTTATCTGACACCACAGGCTGTTTGCATACCTGTTGGGTAGGACACGGATGAGATACTTCTGTGTGTATAAAGCTGTCCTTATCTGCAGGGTGTTGGGAGGAGGAAAAAAAAAAAAAAAAAACAGAAAGCTGAAAAATGCCACCAGCCAGATGGCAATATATTCCTTGCCAGATTTCCATGTGGCTTTCTCTACCAAGCATAGAGCAGAGGAAGAGAGAAAGCACCACTCTTGAAACCTTACTTAAACACCCAGCTGGTGCACCCAGGGGCATGGCCCCCACCCAGGTGCCAACTGCCAAAGGCACGTGACAGGTTACAGAGGCTGTGTGTGAACGTGCTTGTCCTACACCTGAGATCACATCACCTGCTCCCTCAACAGCTGCCTTGTAGGGCTGTCTGTCACTAAGAGAGGGATTTTACAAACTGCCCAAATCCTCTCTCTGAAATGGTCCCAAGAGCAGTCAGGCAGGCACTGAAATCTTCTGATCTGGCAGAGCCACCAGGAAGTGCTGCTACAGAGCCACTACCTTTAGCTTCACCTTTTCTTAGGGCCTTGAATTTCTCCCAGCTGGGGAAGGACCAAAGTGCTTCACTCCTCCTCACCCCTAAGCAGTCTTATAAGAGCTCTGTGTGTTGCTCCTGCCCCTAGCTCTGCCCATCCCACACCTTGGAGACATTGGAAGGGGAAGAGCAAGCAATTCTGCTTGGCCAGGTAACCAGCCAGCAGGAACCAGGCTGGCTACCCATAAAGGCTCACAACGAGCTACTCGTCATCTCAGCACTTACTCTGCAGAAGACCAAAAGAGAGCTGGTGTCGTGGCTTCCCGACAGTCAAATCCAAGGGCACACCTCAAGGTCTCAGCGGCTGTGACAACCTAATGCGATACCAAGATCGGCAACAGCCACACAGATCTGTAGCTTGAACATTCATTACTGCTTTCTCCTCCTTCAGCCAAAACTCTGGTTTCAGCCTTGCAAAACTATTGGGAAAACATATTAGCCCAGTTGCCAAGTCTGTTTGTCGCTGATTGTTATTGAAATTATATTACAAAAACAAACACTTCTGCTTTTCCATTACATTCCTTGGCGCGTGCATGGGTGAACGCCCCATATATCTCTTGCACACACAAACACAGTGCTCTCCAGCTTGGTATTTCCCTGTGGGACTGTCAGAGCAAGC